AGAGCGCGGAGAGAATCTTCTCCAAAGAATGAGCTACACCTCAAGCTGTATGGTACTCTCGCAGTTGTAGAGTATCAACCCATCCAGGTACATATCTTGACCATTCGGTAGTCGAACGCATGGCCCACGCAACGGCATTGGACAAGAGCTCGCGAACATTGAAGCACTCGGGATTCTCGCATATACGACACAGCGATATAATTGGGAGAACGCAGGACTTGGGGTAACCAAACAGGATGAGTCAGGTGCGCCGATTGAAAATAAAAATGGACCATACTGATATGCGGTTACTAATAGAGCTCGGACACTGGAGGTTACCGCCCAGCTAGTGGATGGAATGGGGATGCGAGGGAAATTAGCAGGATAGAATCCAATAGACCAGTGTCGAAATGGATGACAATGCAGAACGCCCAAAAATGAGTTCTCATGCAACATGCACTTTAACAGCATTCAGGAGAGATGATTAGACTCACCGTGAGACATTTGGGCTGCCAAGGGCTTCTGTGCAGATGTCAGGTCAACTTGGTTAGACTATTCGAGAGGAAAAGAGCAAGCCGAGAAACAGATGTATTGGGCTGAAAAGGCAAATCAATAGAGCTGTCAGGCGACTATCTATCCCGACTGCATGGTTATTGATGTTGAGGCGTTTTCTTCCGAAGCCAAATAGCTACGGAGAACTCCGTGTATATACGGTATGGACTAGACAAGCTCAATAGTAAGGCATGCAGGGCAACTAATACTATATAAACCTATAGATAGATTTTGTCTCGACCACAAAGCAAGGGGGAATTGTGAAAAACGAAATAAACATCCCTTTGATAAACCAAGAGGCAATGTTCTACATACTTAGTATGAAGAGAGGCTTGGCTAAGTACAGAAATATACGCCACTCCGTACTCTGTACAATATATACGAGACTGCATGTCTGACCCCGGATCAAGATCTACTATGCCGATCTCTCCTCATGCCAAGCAATGGAAATTTTAATTTGAGACCATGTGGAGAGGCAGAGTGAAACACCATCACTCAGGATTCCAGAACCCGAAGCTATAATTAGGGGGGACATGTTTGTGTCGTCGGTGGCACCATGTTGCAGGCACCATGTTGCAGGCGACATTCATACTATATTCTCTAGACCTATAAAAGCCCAATCCTCGCCAACTCATCACTCTTGAATACATCTCTACAATTCCCCCTTTACCATTCATCAAAATCCCACAATGAAGTTCACTACAGCAATCATCGCTTCCCTGGTGGGAACCAGCACCGCCTTGTTCGACAAGAACCAGCGTATGAGATTCTACACTCATCTACAATGTTCAAGCTAACAGTTATAGCCTGGGGTAAACGCGACTACGCCTGTGTAAACGTCTACCAAGGCATCCCCGACAATTCAACCGTCTCCGTCGGTCAAACCGTCCGCGTCGGCTTCAACCGCAAGCCCACAGGACGCTGCCCGGACCCATTGAGTCAGTACCCGGGCGACAATTACAGCGTGTGGCTGTACAATAACCCCGTGCGCAATTTGGATACTATCTCCTTTGACCAGTCTATCAAGATTGCGGATGGGATTAAGGAGAAGGCGGGTGTTGTTGATGTTACCATTCCCAAGAATTTGCCTCAAGTTAAGGATGGTTCGGTTTGGTATTTGAGGGTTGGGACTTCGCTCTCAACGGCGCCACAGGTATGTTTCTTTTTTTAATTTGCTTTTTCTGAGGTGGAATGTGTGATTTCGGGCTGTGTGTAGCTTGGTTTTTAATTGAATTCAGGGGCTAATCGATATTATGCAGATGCCCTCCTTGTTCAACGCTGCTGGACCATTTACGGTTACTCGTGCATAGATGACTTGGTTCGGTTTAGAATCGGAGAAGGGGATATGGTCTTATTTATGCATATAATTATAGTCATGTCACTACTGTATCTTTATCAAATACGACAGAACAAATAAATTGAAGCATATGTATATTGAGTTGGGCTACGGGCTCCTGGCCGATGACAAGACCCAGCTTTGCTGCCAAGATGCTATAAATAACTTGTTTCTCGGGCACCAGCCTCGGGATGACCATGCACGACTCCGTAAAGTCATCAAATCAACATCTAATCACGGAAGGAGACACTGAATACCTTGTAGCCACTGCGAGGTTTAGCACGGCTACCTTTAGCATCCAGGTGTCCATGCTTGTCAATATCAATATACCGCCCTTGCTTCACAAACCGCATGGTGTAGCCAAGGCCATTGCCTAAGAATGTGAGTTGTACTTGAGCTGCATTTGCACTCTGACTTTTGGGAAGTAAAGCACCACCGGCACCGATCCACCGGCCATCCAGCGCGCTGGAGATGGTAAATGTATGGCTTTCTTCATCGTCGTTGTAGTGGATTACCCAACGCTGGGATTTGTTGTTGTGCTGGGGGCTAGCAGGGCTAGACACAAGGCGGTGGTGGTTGGCCGCATTAGTGATGGCTACTCCATTCTTCTCAAAGACAAGGTATCGGCCCTCGGTAAGGTAGCCAATCACCTCTTTGAACCCCTCTTCGAACCACAGGATATTGACATCCGTTGCGTTGCCCTGTTCTCCATATGGAACATCAGGGCGTGTCTGCTTGTGGCGAGACTGACAGTTAGATGTGCCGGTATACTCACCCTTTTCATTGGTATCAACAGTCCCGGCATCCGGAAGATCGGGGAGAGAGTAGTCTGGATGGTCAAAATCAAGTGCGTTGACTAGATTGGACATGTGATTGCGTCGCCATGAAACCATCTGGTCGGTTGTAATATTTTTGTGTCCCCGCGCGGTCAACCATTTCTCAACGAAGAGAATCTGAGAGTTATGATCTGCCCGCTCAGTGAATACTCGGTTTCCTCGGGTCCAGGGAGAGATCATATAGAATGGTACTCGGAAACCAGGCCCCACAAAGATATCCGAGAACATGCCCAGAGGATCTTGCATCCATTCTCCCGGGGTGTCTTTAGGGGAATGGAAGGGGGTGACATGATCACCAAAGCCACCAGTCTCATCGAAGCTAATCATCAGAAGCGTCGAGTTATATTTCGGGCTACTGGTGACGGCGTCGACGACCTTCTTCTGGAGCCAGGCTCCATCCTTAGGCATGTATGGCGGATGCTCAGACAGCTCAGACGGGCCAACAATGAAACTGACCTCGGGTAATGTGCCGTTGGCGGCAGCCTGATAGAAGGAATCAAGGCCAACAAAGGACATACCCTTTTTGGCCAGAGGGCTATCTTTCGAGGCTTGTTGAAATTGCTCGAACCAGGCGAGAGGGTTATCGTCGAAGTTGTTTGTATCTTGGAAGAGCTGCCAAGAGACTCCTGCCTCTTCGTAAAAGTCATAGACGGTCTTCCATTTGAGTGGGTAACAGTTGATACCGTGGTCATCACAGCCTAGATTATCCTGGTCAGACCATGAAGCAGCGAAAAGTATGATTGCCCAAGTAATAAGAAGAACGGAATATAAAGCTGAGACCTACCTGGTACCTCATTGTTATCAATATATACACCTCCTTGGTCCTTGCTCTGGGGACTACCGGGAACGTTGATGGAACCGCTGACCAAAGTAACCCGATTAGGATTTGTGGCAGTGATTTGACCTTCCTGTTTAAGTTAGTCTCCAATTTCTTTGGGATCAAATGTGGACACGCACCTGGTACATGTCTCCCGATGTCCAACCTTCGGCAATGGCAAATTGAACTGGAATATCTTGCCGCTTCAAGTAGCCCCAGCTCCATGGGGTGTTTTTCATCACCCAGTGGTTGTTCAACCCGTTGTTTAGAGACTGCTGGTTCTCCTTGTAGCCATTGCTACCCGCAACCATGCACTGAATCGCATCATGCCAGTCGCCACCTTGATATCCAAGATACCAGGGTAACAAGGTCGTGGCCTTGTCCGACTGGGCCGGATCAACTAGCCTGATAAGGAATATTAGAACAATCCCTTCGCTCCGGTTCTCGGCACTTACTGATGCCAGACCGAGTTTCCATCGGAGTTGACCTGGACATTGGGATCATTGAAGCCTCGTACTCCAGGCATAGTGCCAAAGTACTGCGATTGGGTGAGCACGGTAGAAATGTTTCATAGCGCAGGCAAAACATACGGTATCCCACGAGCGATTCTCCTGCATGAAGATGACGACATGCTCGATGTCGGCTAAAGATCCACCAGAGACGAGTCCAATTTCCAGAGCTATCGCGAGAGCGATACACACCAGCAATTTGAAAGCCATGATTCGGTAGTTGCAGAAGGGGTGAGTGGGAAGAATTCAACCGAGAGCAAAATCCACTACTTATGTACCCCCGACGAAGCGTGCAGATATCCGAGAGAATGGATAACAGAGTACCTGTGTGCAGGTAGTATCAGGTACATGTATTTACCCCACGAGCTCTGATACTTCGTTACATCTGCAGGTGTTCTCCCTCATGGCTCCTGCTCGAGGAAGGGACGAGTCAGAATGCAGGGATTCAACATAGGGATGGGCTGACATTCCTGGGGATGCATGATGCCGATCACAATGGAATTATAGTAGAAGTTGAAGGTATAGTGGACGAGAAGGTGCATCCAATCTGATAGGCCGGTATCTCCACGTGAGATGATGTTCCATGGTTCGGTCAACGCTAAACAGGAACAGACTTTCGGCAGGAACGAGCTTGTGTACTTTGGGTTTAGTTCAGTGCCAACAGGGACTTTTATACATGTCTTTTACATTAAAGTAATATGGGATAGATACCCGATATTACACTATACTACACTAATCATATTATCGTCGCTCTGATTGATCAGGAAGGGCACGTGCATTGCATGTCATTCTGTAAGGTCACATCGGATGATTCCTTTGGCAGCAAGGGAATGAGGTCATAGCGCAGAATGCTCTTTCCTCCACTCAATGCTTGATGTTTATATATCCTCAAATTTCAATGGATACTCTTGTTAAATCATGAGGTACAGTCAGGGTCGGAAACGGTTTCCAGTGAACAATTGACCCCACCAATGCCGGAGCTGTCAAAACGACCATGGCCTATCGTGGGCTGCTCATTGGCTACTTGTTTTTTAATTGGGTTGTCATACTTCCTCCAGTCATCCATCTCTCTGCCATTAGTTTTGCCTGGTCGATATCACAATATTCAGGAAACTGTGGCCATCACCGCTCGACTGGGGATAGAGCTTCACCCAGAGGATCATATGTACCGGGAGCCGGCGACTCAATATTTGGATTGGCGTGTGACCTCGGACTTTCGCAGACCAGATGGTGTATTGAAGCGGGTCTATCTTATCAACGGTCAGTAGAAGGAACTGACTATATCACGGCTGTCGATCTGACCGGAGGATATCGAACTAGGCCTGTTTCCTGGACCTACGGTAGAGGCCCGCTCTGGTGACACCTTGATCATTACGGTTACGAATGCCTTGTCGGATGAATCAATTGCTCTACACTGGCACGGCCTTCATGTGGCTAGTAAGCATCTGATAAAGTCAGGTTTCGATTAGAATCATCAGAGCTGACATGTATAGATGCCATGGATGGTGCAGTGGGGATTTCACAATGTCCTGTAGCTTCTGGTGGATATTTCGTTTATAATTTGACAATTCCAGCCGATCAGAGTGGTACTTTTTGGTATCATGCCCATTCGGGGGTCTCGCGGGCGGATGGCCTTTATGGTGGGTTGGTCGTCCATGCACCAGCCAAATCGACCGTTCGGGGCTTAACATACAGGGGGCGCAATAAACTTCACCGTAACACCTATGACAGAGAACTTTTGCTTCTCATCGGGGACTGGTACCATCGCCCTGCGGGTGATGTACTGGAATGGTATATGGACCCAGGAAACTTCGGAAACGAGGTGAGTACCGAAGTGTGGCCTCAAACGTTGGAGCGTGCTATCTAACACCGGTATTAGCCTGTTCCTGATTCCATACTCATTAATGGAGCAGGGTATTTTGAGTGCACGAGGGCTGTGCCTGCTAGGCCGGTGGACTGCATTGACCAGCAGATGAATAATTCATTTATCGACCTCGATCCTCACACAACATATCGAATTCGTGTGGTCAACACTGGGTATGTAGCAATATTACCAGAGTCAAAGTGGTCATTGGCTTACCAGTGGACAGAGCTCTGGCCGGGCTGAGTCTTGTTTTCGACAATCGTCACCTGGACTTGCTTCAGGTCGATAGTGTCGATGTAACACCCTCTGAAGAGACAAGTATAAATTCCATCGGTGTACTCTTCCCCGGGCAACGCATGGACTTTGTTCTTCGGCCATTATCACAACCCTCCAAAAATCAGTCATATATGAGGGTTCAGTTGGATCAAGAGTACGAACAGGATTGCCAAGCACCACAGCAGTTCTTGGATGGCTGCTAATGTCTCCCTAGTTGCTTCAAGTACGCCAACCCGGCGTTGGTGCCAGATCAAAGTTTCCCCATGGACTACCGTTCCAATGCCACCCAGGGATCTCCACTCAAGGTCCACCATCTCAACATCGAAGAAGTACCTTCTTCGCCCTCTATCCTTCACTCCATTCCTCCAACAGCGCAGCAAATACATGTGGTCTACACCAAGATCCAAAAAATGGCCCGATATTCCAACAAGCCATTCGGTTACTTCAATCAAACTACCTGGAAGCCCCAGCAAGATCCACCCGCTCCAGTGACCTATATACCACGAGCTAAATGGGACACCAACCAATTCGCAATAACCACGGGACGAGAGCCTGCATGGGTAGACCTAGTCATCAACAATCTGGACGAAGGATCCCACCCATTCCACATGGTAAGAAATCTTTCCTCCCCTACCCAGTGGCAACAATCCCCTAATTAATATCTATCCAGCACGGACACCACTTTTACATACTCGCAGTTCACCAAGCCGAGTTTGGCTGGGGTTCCTACAACCCTTTCGTCGACAAAATCCCACCACACCTAGAACTTGACTCAGATGCGTTGAACAATGACACAGATGCGCAGAACCCCAGTACTGGTTATAATTCTGGTCTGTACGACACATCCCGGGCTGCTTTGCGTGACACCGTCCGGATCCCAAGTCGCGGTTATGCTGTTCTTCGTTTCCGGGCGGATAACCCCGGCATTTGGCTTTTTCATTGTCATATGCTTTGGCATTCGGCGACGGGTATGGCCATGCTGATTGATGTGCAGGGTGATCCGACGGGCTTGACTGCGCACGCTGGCAGCGAAGAATTATGTCCTTTTTGAGATATATCGACCATTTTTGGCCGTGGGACTAGCCAAACTATTAGTACTTACACTCCAGAACCTCTCATATCTGTTCTAGATCTCTCTGTGGTCCGCAGGATCTGAAGATACATATTGGCGATGTCTTCGTTTGGATTCTGTGGATTTCTGCCAAACCAACTCCCCACCGACCCAAAGGGGATATTCCCCAGGAGCGACAGGAAGGAGATGTGACATAGACCACTGCTATACAACACGCGCATTCCCATTGTCTGCAGTCTAAACGAGACTTTTCATGGAGTCCATGGCTATGAATCTCCGCTTCTACACCAAGAGACACAGCATGGTCTGTGGTCATCCATCAAATTACCCAACTCTAGGGCTGTGCTCTAGAACTCTCTAGTAGTAGTCAATCGAGCAAAGGCCTATCTGGCAATAATGTCGGATCAGCTGTTGCGAAAGGAACTATCTGCAGCAAGTTTCCTCTCTCTCGGCTTATATTCAAGCCGAATAAAAGAATGTCTATACTGCTATGGGTCGTCAATTCTACCTGCTACTAGTTTGCGACATGTTACAACTTCAAGGTTGTATGGAATTTGAGTGAGAGTTGACCGATTCACGGAGCTGTGTCACTACCGGACTACTTGCATGTCATATTATACACACTCTTTGTATATCTCAGTTTCCAAACCCGCAGGGAGCACTTATAACTTTGGAGACTGCCATGGAAGTTAAAAGGCAATCAGAAAACAAATAGACACATATATTCCCAGGTAAAGTCAAGACGTACAAGTTTCCTAAGCATGAAACTGCCCAAAGAATAAAAAATCGACTCTGAACTCGAATCCAGATTAAACTGAACTTCATCCTATTTATCATCCTTTCAACAAATCCTGTTCATCCAACTCAAACCTCCCCAAGAACTCCAAAGAAACCCAACAATACTTCTGCGGCGCACCTTTCAAAAACCCCTCAGCAATCGCCATTTCCAAACTAACAGCCATCTTCAACCTCCACAGCGCCAGAATCTCATATCCGTACTTGGATTCTTTCAACCCGGCATTGAACTCCGCATTACCGATACCCCCGTCGTCAGGGACTTCACCTGGGATTTTACCCGGCGAGATCCGGGCAACGAATTCGATTTGTTTGATAGGACTAGTTGTGTAGAACCAGATGTGTTGGATGCTTGGTGGGAGGAGGTAGCTTCGGTATTCGTGGTTCTTGGATCCTGAGGCTATGTTTTTCATATGTTCTGGTTTTATGCTCATGAAGATGTCCGATGTTGATTTTGTCATTTTGGATTTCTTTAGGATAGAGTGTGTGTGTGTGTGGGAGTGGACTGTGTTGATGCGGGGTTTCTCGTGCAGGTATAGAATTTAAGGTATAAATGCAGTCAGCCGTGTGGATTTATTACTTATAACGTCAAGTGTAAGTGTAGAATGATATACAATTTCATAGAGATAATCATAACAAGTCCGTAGGTTGAGAAAGTACAGTCTGTGTACAAGGAACGCCATAGGTAACGCCAATTCCCCCAAACAGAGAAGGTAATGGGTAATTATGATAATGTCCAAAGAGAGTGAATACAGAAACCCGAGAGGGAAACAAGAGGGGGAAAGACCAGCTTCGCCGTTCAAGTTCACGCATTAGAAGAGGCAGCCCACTCGACGACCTCCAGAGCGCACATGACAAGTACAAGGGTCGAGGGGAGGATCCTGAAAAGAAAACGACCATGTTAGCAATGATCAATACTTGAGATGGACAACCGGGGGGTGTCTGTTCTCTGTCAATAGAAGGTTAAAGACTTACCAGACGACATAACTCTGGAACAAGAGTTTCGACATAGCACCAACAAAGACATTATTGATCTGACAGATCTGCGCCAGTTGCAACGCAGACGGCGCACCTGTAAGCAGGAAGCAGACAATAATGAAAATAGGATCATCGAGGATACTAATCGGCACAAACTTGGCCATGAGGGCCAAAATCGGCGCCATGATAAGAGTAGGAAGAAGCATGCGCGCAAGCAGTGAAGCGATGATAAGCTTGCGTTCATCGCGGGGATGCTCTATGTCTGCCATCGCCTCTTCGGGGATTGTATTGCGCGCGAGGTTCGCGCCCAGCACGACCAGGATCAGTGGCACGGCAACCTGTCCGTTCTGTTCAATTGCACGGGTGACCGAGTTGCGCACAAAGGTGCCGTCGTCGAAGAAACCGTGTTGAAGTACCGGTACTGATGCGACGATGATCGATACTAGCATTGCCCACAGGGGTGGATTCATGAAGTCCCATACGCCATGGAGGAAGCGGCGCAGTCCGCGCGTCGCCGATGCGAGGCCCTTTTGGACCTTTGGTGGGAGGCGCGAGTGGAGGACGTTGGTTTTCTTCTCTCGCCACTGGCTCAGGCGGTCCCACGATCTACGCAGAGATGCTTTGCGGCGCTGGAAACGCGTTTCCTCGGCTTCGCGGGCTTCCCGCGCGGTGATTTCGACATTCGGGAATTGGAGGATGTCGCCTTGGGTGCTTTGGCGGGGGAGGAAGGGGCCAGTGGGTGGCGGTCCAAGTACTGACGGTGTATCGTCTGAGTCGAGATCGTCTGAGTGAGCGGAGGACAACTTCGAGTAGGAATAAGTGCGCGTTGACACGGGTGTTTGGTCACCAGATTGGAACCGGTCGGCATGTGTTGCGTGGGTATGGTGTAGATCATCCGAGCTGCGTGTCCGGACTAGCGGCTCATCCGGGTCTGTCTGATCCGGATTATCGCTATACCGTGCCTGGCCCTGCTCGATGATTGACTGGCCACTCTCGTCGCGCCCCGCCTCCTCGAGGTATCGGTCCTTGGGCGCTAAGAGAATGTGGTATCCCCAACTCCAGCGCACGAGTTGACCTAGCTGCTGGAAGATAAGCAGGTATAGAATTCCACGTGCAGCGACTTCGTCATCGTTGTCGTTTGGGATCCGGTCCCAGTGGAGGCCTTTGAGGGTCTGCGAAAGCGATATGACGAGGGAGATTGGGAGAGAGTTTGAGTTGCCAAAGACCTATAGAAAACGGGCAATCGTTAGAATTGGATATTCAAACTCGTTCAAATGGCAGGACCCATCACATACCGCCATGGCAGCCACAAAGTTCGACTGCCGCTTCTTGAAGCGACAACATTTTGCGACAATGAAAGAACAGAAGTATGACACGAAAGTTTGGACGATAAAAATAACCGGGATGATAGCCAAGTCCGTCAGCTTTTCGGCGGTTAATTGCGAGCCCAACTTGGTGAAGACTGTTGATAGGAATCAGCTATGTCATAGAAAATACCTCATGAGAGCACAGAGGAACGCATACTAAGACAGGGGGTGAACAGAGTCACATTGAGGTTTGCCACCAGCTTTTGAGCATCGGCATCAAACATGCCCTGACGGGCGGCAATATAGCCAGGAAGGCTGACGCATACGACCTCCAGCACTGCTTCAAAGACGAGCAGCACTAATCGAAAGAATGGGGGGTGGCTCTCATGGGCGCCTATGAAGAAGCGGTTGACGCCCATTGGGGCTTGGGCAATAGCATTGACATTTTCAAATGATCGGGGCGAGTTAAAGATGGCCATGTGTGGTCAAGAGAAATTTGAGAAAGACGGAAATCCCAGGAAGTGAAGTTGGAAAGAAATAAGCTTGGAATTCGCATTCCTTGATTTTGATATGGGCTCTTGGCAGTCTTGCCCACGTTGATAGCTCTTTGGTGGATGTTGCCTTATCCCTGTAGGGAATTGCGCAATGGCTGGAATTTGACCATTTCTGTTCTCTTATTATTACTTATTATTATTATTCGTTCTTACTCCGTACTATCTCAAGTTTATGCATTACTATCTAACTTGCTTTGTACAAAAAGGCTGGAGATCTGGAGATTTGACGATCAGCAATGACGGCATTGCGGCGATAGCACTGTGCCAAGACCTTCCTAATCCGTCCTGGTCTAGACAATATCAGCTAAGCAGGTGCTATACTTATAAAAAAACAGGTGATTAAACTAAATTTTCCACTGTCCTAAAGAAGAGGACTGGTATAATACAAAATAGACATCCGAAAGGTCGGGTACCCGGCGGTGTACCGGGCTGTGTACTGGGCTGTGCAACTTGCTTTTTTACGCCTCATTCACAAAACCCAATTTCTCGCCTACCTTGATGCGCTGACCCTTCTCAATATTCCAAGTCCACCCATCACTGGGGGCATCATCCGGCCAGCCGGCATCAATAGACCTGCGAGTTCCAAGAGGAGCTTCAAACACAAGTACGATCGAACTGCCAAGCTGGAACCCGCCCATCTCCTCGCCACGCTGCAGTGGATGTCCATTAAGGGTTCGGCTGGCGTGGCGGTAAGTCGCCTCAACAAAGCCGGGATATTGTTCACCGCGCTTGGCAGCCAAGGCGGCAGCCAGGTCCGCAGCGGTATCAGTCAACAGGCTGTTCGTGCGCAGCTCCGAGTCAAAGTTGATTTTAATGGAGCCTACATTGGTAGCTCCGACCGGTGTGTAACTGAAGAAACCCCACCGCCATCGGCCGAGGAGTGCAACTCGCTCGTTGAGAGTGAATAGACCGGGTAGATGTCTCTGCAGATATGGTGAAACTGAGTATAACTCGCCAGCAAAGTGGCGGCGGCTCTCGACGACCCAGGGAGCAGGGGAGTGGAAGCGGTGGTAGTCGCCGGGTGCTAGGTAGATCACAACGTAGAACAAGGCATGATTGGCTGCTGTCTTGGGCGCGTACCATGGGGTTCCATCACCACGAGCCAGGTCCTCTTGCACTTGGATTTCCGAAGCTGGTTTAGATGCGGTTGAAGCATCCAATGAAGCACGTCGTTGGGGAGCACCGTCGCCCGAAAGAAGGCTTGGGAGAGTGTAAGAAATACCATTCATGCGCGCAAACTCTTCATGAGCATCCATGTTCTCGACATCCTTTTGAGTTTCCTTCCCGCCCTTGTCCATGAGTCGCTTGGAGTGGTCGGCATTCGCAGGCGTGGCTGCTCCTAGGAGAGCGTCCAGACTGTATGTCATTCCCTTAACTTGCTCAACCTCACCTCGCTCGATCGTTCCAAATTGTAAAATTCGGCCGTCGGAGGGAGCGAGAAGAGCACGAGGGTCAGGATCCAGGGGTCGAACGCCAGGCTTCAGTTTACGGTAGAAGAATGCGGCCAAATTCGGGTAGGTGTGCAGGTCGGGCTCAGCAACCTCTTCAAGGTTGACGCCAAAGGCCCATGAATAGAGTTTGAATCCAGGAACGCGGAGGTAGTAAGGAAGTTCGATTTCGTTGAAACGGCCCCACAGGCGCGACATAGCCTTAAGGGGTAGAGTAGACATGATCTGAACATGCCATGGGCCGGACAGACTGATCCTCGGACGAGGAGGTGGGCGTTTTCCTTCCTCCCATTCATCGCCGGCTGCATCGCGAGCCAGCCGATTCCGTTCCGCGCGTTGTGACTTGTAGAAAGACAGCAACCCTAGCAAACCTATGCCGAGTCCGACTGGGATGGGATACCATTCGACCTTGGTATTGCGTAGAGCAAAGCCTAGTCTTGAGCCAAATCCTCCTCTGTTGTTTTCAGAGTTATTGTCCTTCTGATATTGTTTCCATGATTTAGACGAAAAATGCCGGAGACTGGCCTTATGACGGGCCGTGGCCCGGAACGAAAGAAACTCCATCGACGCCCCGATCCGAGGGGCAGCGGGAGCGAAGTGAGAGAGAGGCGAGGAAGTGAAAAGGCGCTTGGCCATAATGTTTAATCCATCGGCCTGGAGCGCTAAAATCGAGCCCCTAAGCTTAGAGCGTTTTTTTCCGAAATGGGGAAATTGCGCTGTTGCCGATTGACCGCCCGGCAGAATTGCACGTGGAGATGCTGGAGATACAATGGATTGTCTTTCTCTTCTATATCCAAATACATTTATAAAGGAGCATTTCTGCGATTCTGACTCTTTGCATCTGTCGTCTTGCATCGTTCTTCCAAATTTCTTCCTAGCTACTATAGATTCTCACGGAGGACATTACAACATCAACATCGCTTATCGATTGATGCCAGATATCACGAACTAGATCAGCTCTATATACGCGTTTTAGCTTGGGAACAACTACAGTTCTGAAGCAATGGCGACAGGACCATCACCCCATTCCATGGCAGAGGGAAACACACCGAGCACAGTCACCCTTCATATACTCTGCCAGTCTCTCCCCCCTCCAAGCCGGTTTACACTCGACAACGTTCCACTCTCCTCCACTATCGCACAGCTCAAGAGCCGGATCGAACAGTCCTTTCCAAATAATCCTCAGGCATCACACCAAAGACTCATTTACCGAGGAAAACCCCTAACTGTCGATGAGGCAACACTCAGCGCAGTAGTCTCAGCTATGGAGGTAAGTAACTTGTCCTTAACCCGCACCATATGACCTTTCATCCTAACTGAATGGGGTTTCCTTTGCAGGAAGGCACGTATAGCATGCACCTTGTGCTGCCACCTGAGCCAGCACAAACAGAAGTACCTCCTGTCTCTGCCATGTCGCATGGTTCGCCTCTCGGGAATTCTACTCAACCTTCCTCTTCCTCTTCCACCTGGTTGAATCCTGATACTTCGGGGATTGCATCCAATACATCCGCGTACTCCAGTATTCCCAGGACAATGAGTGCCATTCCAGCATCTCCACATATCACATTCAATCAATACGTCCACAACTCTTCACCTAATCAACATTCAGCAACTATACATGCACCAGAAGCCGACGGTGCAGAATCCTCTCCTCTCATTCACACTTTACGAGGTCGCATCGTGGAGATTGAAGGACAACTAGACCGGCGTATCATGCCATCCATGGAGAATATCATTCGTATACGGAACCAGCTTCTTGAAATTCAAGACAGACGATCTGCGAGCCAACTTCCTCTCCCTGGTGTTGCAGAACTGGTTGCCCGTATTCTCGATGCTCAACAGCGTGCCCGCCTAATGGAATATATGCAACAACAGCAATTGCAGACACAGCACTCGCAGACAGGCGTCCATGTCCATTCCCTCGCCGATCCCCAAAATGGGCACCAAGTAAGCCACCAAGGAACTACCTCTCAGTTCTTCATGCTGGCTTCGCCAACGGGAGACCATAATAGCATCGTGAGACAAAGTCACTCGCCATCCCGACCCGCACCGCAGCAGACGGTTTCGCCTAATACAGTTCTCGCTGGCGCATCCGGCGCACCTCAAGCACCCCAATCGCCTCCAGCATATCAAGCACCCCAGGCATATCAAGTGCCTCAAGCACCCAACCAAAACGCAGCGGTAGTCCAGAACGCCCTCCGCCAAGCAATACTCAACCAACAGCGCCGAGACAACAATGTCGAGCACGCTGGTCTGGCACGGCACATCCGCCGCATCTGGCTGTTCACCCGTCTGTGGCTCTTCTGCTATCTCACTAGCGCCCCAGGTACCTGGAGACGTTACATCTTCGTCAGCATTGCTTTACTTGTCTCATTCTTCTCCGAGACCAATATCCCGCGGCAGCTTGCGACTCTGGTTATCAGTCCCATCCAACGCCATCTTGAGGGCCTCACCCATGCCGGTGGCCTAGCCGACCGAGCCACTCAAAATGGAGCCAATAACGTTGCGGAGTTCAGTATTTGGGACCAGGTACGCCGTGCGGAGCGAGCCCTTGTTTTGCTTTTTGCGAGTCTGGTTCCCGGTCTAGGTGAAGGACATGTCCGCGCTCGCACTGCGGCAGACCAAGCTTTCGTAGCTGAGCAGGAACGTCAGGCACGGGAACGTGAGGAGCAGGAGCAGGCACGGGACCAGGAGCGTCAGGAGCAGGAACAAGCTCAACCTGGCGTGGTGGAAGACGCGGGGAATTCAGGCATTGAACAGGAGGTTCCTGCCGCGCGCGCACAGTCTGAAATCTAAACAGGGTCTAGCAGGGATCTGACATATATCGTGAGCATTTGCTTTTCATCTTCTTGATCTTATTAACGGTAGCGTCTCCAATCTAGTTCTTATAAATGAATTCGACGTGGGCCAAGGCAGTACCTACAACAATGCACTCCATGAAACCAAGTATTAAGGCGATCAAAAGAATGATCTTTTCTCGTGTCGTTTATTTATATTGCTTAGAGCTATGTGGAAGGCAGTCTATTACCCCCAGTGCGCGTTTTCATACTCTCTTATGGTGAATTTCGGCCCTTTGTTGCTGCCCTTTTGAGCATTTTGAGCAGTCTTTTTAGTAGCCTCTTTAGTTGTCCTTTTAAGAGTCTTTTGAGTATTCCTTTTTTTTTTTTTCCTGCTAGTATTATATTTAGGCGTATAGGAAGAATGAGCCGTGGAGTATGGACTAAAATGGTGTGAATGTGTAATTCTATATATGTGAGGTGATATATATACACATACTCCGTAGAAAGGTAGAATATATAGGATTTAGGTAACGGGAATTCGACTTGAATTTCAACTTATGTAATTGGTGCATTCAAATAATATACTCAAATTGTAAACAATACTACAGGTAATTCGAGCCGGTGCACTGGCGTTAATAGAACTGCCGTACTAGTTGGTACATCATACATAGTTCTAGGCCGCTATCAAGATATATTGCGTTTATATTGTGTTTCATGTGTCTTTCTTTTATGCCGCTAGAAAAGCCTCGCTGGGGACGAGAGACACTATACGAGTCAGTTGGGCATTGTAGTGATAGACCATGTCAGCTCAACTTTCGTAGTCATTGTTTGGGGTCACCCGCACTCGATGATCTCAGAAAGACGCAACGATGGCCTCGCTCTATACACCACAAGCCATTGCCCCGGAGTGATTGCGCAACTCATCACCTCACAGCTTCGTGGCACCTACATTTGCAGGTGGTTCCGCAGGTAGCTCCGAAGGCGGAGCCATAGGACCCGTATTAAAGGATTCTTCGCCATCAAAGTGCCTGCGGGAGACTATATCAGCATCTTCTCTCGACACCAAAGAGAAAGGGAAAAAGAAAGGGAAAAAGAAAGGAATCCACTCACCATCCACGTTCAGCACCACCACTCAAAAAGCTACAATCTCCATTCGCAACACAATCCCATCCACCCCCAACACCGCGCCCATTCCTCCACTGCGGCGTGGACCCCGACGCACGAATAAACATCGTACCCTCAGCAAGCGGCTGCTCACTTGGATTTTCTTGCTGGTCACCGCTATGTCCAGCACTAGCCGTATAGGAAGCTCCCCTCCTCTTGAAAGTGCTCAAACCAGCCGTGAAAACATTAAAGTCCTCTTTGGAACTATCGTCCGGCATATGGCCAGTAAGAACCCGTCCCATCGCAATGAGCGGCGCTGCATGCGCGCAGATCAGGACAGACTTGCTGGTTCTTTGGTCTGGTGGCAGCTCTGCTTCCAGGGCGGAGACTTCCGCGTCAATGTCAGCGATTATGCCTTTTAAGGCTGTTGCTAGGCGGTTATGGAGCTGGGTGATTGTTTCGCCACGTCTTGAGGGGACGAGGAGGGGTTTGTAGGTTTGGCTGGCCTCTGGAAGGAGGGTTGGAAAATGGGTGGACATCATTTGGAGGGTTGGGTGGGCTGGGTGGTCGAAGAAGTCTGTTGCGCCGAACCATTCTCTAGATTCCAGTTAGTTTATATGGTAAGAATAGACTTGTAAAGTGCTTCTTTTGTTGGCAAGAGGGTTGGGTTGTTTGAGTAAGGTGGAAGGAAGTATAAGTATAAAAGGAGGATATGGTACTTACCCTAACCCATTCTCAATTCGTACATCCAGCTCCGCATGCCGATCAATTGACCCAATCAGACCACTCTGACTACCAGATTCAGCAGAGATTCTCTTGAGCTCTTCAACAGACGGCTGGATTGTTTGAAGACAACGGTAGAAGGGACTCGAGTAGACACGGAATGGTTTCGGATGGAACTGGGGACCAGCAATGTGTTCCGCTAGCTCGTACGACTGATCAACGCCGTGCGAAGTCAGTGCAGGGTCTGCTGGGTTTCCTGTCGGCGTGGGGAATTGGGCCTTGTATGTGCCCGTGCGAAAGTCAATGGTCCAGCTGAGGCGGTGCTGCAATAGTTAGGTCTACAAGTCCATAGCAATGACTGTATAGATTACATACCCCATGACGAGTCAGATATATCGTGTCCAAAGGCATCGTGTTTGAATTAGTTGTTCAACTATGTACCGGCCATGCCATTGTTGCGGGGGGAAAGGCAGAATACATGTGCACGCTAGGGCGGTGAATGTGTACCTCGGCCCGGGCTACAATAGACCAAGAAAAAGGGGATAATGAGATAAACATTGCAGACCAGTTATTTAGCATTGATATACGAGCGAACCGTGTACTCTGCGAACCATCAAAAGTGCGGAACAGCGGGTATTTTGTTCACAGCTACAAATTCCAGATTACATTCCAGGGTCCAGCCCAGTACAACCAACGCCATGCATAACCAGTCAAAGCAAGAACTTTTCTCAATTCTTTTTTAGAACGACTCCATCTAGTAGAAGAAGCCGAGGAGCTTGCCAGCAACGTGCTTGCGGCGAGCCTCCTCGTGATCCATGATACCGGCGGAGGTGGTCAGGACAACGTAACCGAACTGACGGGAAGGAAGGAGCTGGGTAGCCCACTTCTCAAGGTCACGGAGCTGAACGGGGTAGCGGGGGTTGATGACACCACACTTGTTGAGACTGGAGATATCAAAGTTAGCTTGAAATTTCATCGAGACTGGTGTGGATGTGTTTGTGAATACGTACCGGCCGTTAAGCTGGATGACAATCTTGCCGGAGCGGTGGTCATCGACCTCCTCGAACTCGCCGATGTAACCTGAGAAAGAAAAGAGTCAGTATGTTGTGAAGATTTAAAAGTCGTCAAATACTGAAAAAGCCATAACAGCGCTTTGGAAACGTGTAAGATCTTCGCAAATTAATATATCGGACACTTAAAAGGCAGACGTCGTAGGTTGATTGAGACCGGCCGCCTAGTTATCAGCCCGAATGGGTGGGACAAAGATTCTCAAGACAGGTGGTAAAAAAAAAGCAGAGGAAAAAGCAAAAAAGCAAGAAAAAAAGAAATCAAAAGACGAAAGAAATTTTCAAAATTCACGTACCGTGCTTCTGCATGACAGCAAGGAACTTGACGATGACCTTGGAGGAAGGACGGATGAGGACCTGGCGCTTGCCAGCCTTCTCGGCGTTGTTCATGGCGTTAAGCGCATCGTTGAGGACGGAGGTCTTGACCATTTTGGCGGTTTAGTTCGAGATTCTCAAATCGTAACGTTTAAAAGTAAAGATTATGAGGTATCTGTTCGACGAACGCGGTTTAAGTCAGCCACCACTAGTCTTCGAGCGCAAAGAGTGCCCCTTTTTGCATTGCAAGGAGTTCTTCAGCCCGTGCCGAGTTGGGAGATGCGTATCATCTTGGCTTCCTGGATCGCGATTCCTGAGAATTATCTATAATTCACGTATGGAAGCAATCTAGACAAGATGATTGCATCCCCAGACTAGGTGAGAGGCTGTTTTGGGGGGAGGGAATAACACATACCTCGAGAGATGGTCGTCGATGGATGAAGCGGAAGAAACGACGATCGGTGAAAGTTTGGTTTTCGGGTGGTGCGCGGGTAGGGTTAGTGCAAATACTAGCCCTTATCATTTAGGTCACATGCCGATAAGTATTTACCGGTTGGTGCCTAGGCTCCATAGGCTGGAAGACATCACTATTATCTACATAGTGAACTAACCGGCCCTTGCATCTTTTTAATATCTACATTGTATCTACAATATGCTATGAATAGCCACAAAACAACGAGATATCGAAAAATCAAACAACAAATCACCATTGAACACCATTAAAACACCAAGATAAATAATGCTACAAACATCTTTACTTCTACTACTACTAACTCATCAGCACATCATTCAGTAATTCCATCCTTAAGCAAGGCTCAGATGGGTGGTTCTGTACATGATTTTCCAGCGTGATGGCATGGTTTTGGGCAAATGTTGGCGTATACGAGGAAGGGAGACGAAATCAGGGACAGCTTTTTCATGACAATGACTCTTTTCTGGAGGGGTGACATGAGGGGGAAAGGGATACATGAATTGGGAGTACAGTAGAGGGGGAGGGGATACATGAATTCTTGGGCTACATGAGTCGCAATGCTATAAGATGCGATGGAGGGGGTCTTGTCTAATTAAAAACAACATAGAAAGGGATTGGGAAAGGTGAAACGGGTTGTATCAAGAAGAAAAAGGAAACTCAGACAGGGCCATACAGAAATTGGGAAGGGTACCTGGAGCTCATTCGAATGTGTCATCAGGGAATTGAGCAACAGCAAAGGGTTTTGGGGAACGGAGTTCGTGACCAAAGGGTAGTGATAGGAGGGGAATCCTGTGCTGGGAAATAAAGGGGGAGGGATTTGAGGCTATCCGCTAAGCGCTCTGGTTCGACAACGTCGAGAACAGGACATCCACCCTGCACACATCAGGAGCACCAACTGGGTGTGGGCTCAAGCAGCCCTAGGACCTGTGGATGCCAACAGGCCCGATGTGAGTGGCAGACGCTTTGGGTGACGGAATCGGACCAGAAGCACCGGTAATCAATCGGCTGAGACATTGTGACGGCTTTACGCCATACTAGCACCCATGTTGATCTGGCGCTTGACCTGCTCACGAGTCCAGCGGGCAGTCTCAATTGTGCGCTCGCTGTACTGTCTGGTTGTGCGAGTCTCTCTCACGAGAGCGGTGACCCAGTCGTTGCGGAAGTAGGCAGCGAGTTCACCGTTGGGGAACGCATCAGCAAGATCACTAATGAATAGTTAGTATAGGCAATCCAGACTAGAAGCTGCCAAGACGTACCCAATAACACCCATGGCAGACCGCATCAGGCCTTCGCTGCGGTTGCTCTCCTGGGAGATAATGTGAAGAAGCTGGAAGATAGACTCGATGAAAGGCTGAAGTTGGGTGACTGCGATCTTATTAGCATGCTGACATCGTATCTGTGTGGAGAGTGAAGAGCAACGTACTGGAAGGAGTGCCCTTGTAGGACAAAAGAATACCACCCCAAGCATCCATGATGCCTTCACGGAGAGAAACAATGTAATCCACCATGTCGTATGGGAGGTCAGAGCTGGTGGTCACACTGGAGGCCTGCTGGAGAACTTGGCCAACGACCGCCAAGTACGTATCGAAGTTAGTACCGATCGCCTGGGCGATATCGCCGAAGGTCTCAAGAATTGCAGGCTTGAGCTGGTTGGTGGAAGTCTGTTTGAAAAATTAGCACTGGACATCAACCTTAGTATATCTGAGTGAACCAATCTCACCTGGAGAGTCTTGAGCAGGAGGTTCATGAAGGTGTCGCAGTAAGGCTGGACCTTCTCGTTCAAGGCACGAGCAATATCGCTGACCAAGCCGATGGCCATAGAGCAGAGACCGGGCTCTTCCTGGTTGCCCAGAGCGTTGTACAGGAATGGGCTGAACGACTCCATGTACTTGATGAAATCATCCTCAAGAGCACTGGCAATAGCACCAACGGTGGCAAAGATGACATCCGGCACGCTCGACTTGGCGCCAAGGGTGGTCAGGACCTGAAGCAGAACGCTCATAATACGGTCAGCCTGGGGCTTAATCTCGCCCTCGAAGCGCTGGACGATGGCCAGAATGACACTGATCAAGCTAGTCTGCATCTCCTCGAGGAGAATACGGTCCTCGGCGCTAACGACCTGCTGCTGCATGGGAACAGTGTGCTCAAGACGCTGGATAATAACATCTGAGAGAGTTGCAACCATGGGCAGGCTGTCATTGGCAGAGTTCATAACAAAGGAGTTGAGAACTTCGTATCCAGCGGTACGGAGCTGGTTATCGGCGTCTTGTCTGTACGGGCGTTAGGTCAAAGGAATCAAAAGCATATCACTCGAGGAACATACCGCTCGGTCACTGTCAGCAGGGACTTCACACTATCCTCAAAGTGCTTTGACAGAGGGTTAGTCTGTGAGCCATCGTCACCAGCAAATCGGTCTGCGACGTTCATAAGAGCCCAGCAGCAGGAGCTGGCGATCTTGGGGGAATTGGCGAGGCCATTGAAGAGGCACGAAATAAGCGGCTGGAGGTGGACCTCGGGGTCGAGAACCTCGGGGCAGCAGTCGCACACGCGACCCAGGGCGTAGGCAGTGGAGTCGCGGACGGAGATGGAGCTATCCTCCATCATGCCAAGCAAAACAGACAGGGCCTGCTTGATCAGGGGCTCCAGAACAGCAGGTTCGGGGCCTTCCATAATAGCGCCGAAAGCAGCGACGGCGGCATCTCGGCGGTGCCAGTCCTCGTTGCGGATGTTCTCCTCGACAAAAGTCACGACGGGCTGAATGACATCACCCTGCACACATTGGGCGTAAAGCTGCATAGCCTGGTAGGCAGCACGGGACACGTTGTATTCATCATCACCAGCATCCTCGTCCTGGCGGCACATAGATTGCAGCAAGACGGGAACAACCTCACGGGTAGCGACGCGAGCAAATCCGAAGAAAGGACGAGCCTCAACACCCTCTGCCTGAGCCTAGAAGAAATATAACGTCAGTACATGTCCAAAAGTCATTGAGTCTCGTGCGCTTGATACATACCTCAGCGTTGTCATCCTCGATGGCAATCTCCTCCTCGCAGACAGTGCACCAGAACTCAATAGCCAGCTTGGCGACTTCCTCCTCCTCGCTCTTCATTCCCATGATGCTCAGGCCAAACAGAGCCTTCTCCATGTAGAAGCGCATCTTCTCGTAGTAAGATCCCATGATGCGGTTCAAGCAGCCGAATGCAGCAGCCTGCACACGGACCTCATCGGCCTGGGTGGCCTCGCAGACGACCTGCATAATGTAGTTGCGCTCTCCTTCGTTGTCCATGTTGGTTCGCACGAAATCGACGGCATCACTGAGAGCGGCAATAGCAGCGTAACGAACATCCATGTTCGGCTCCTCGCGCCGAGCACCCTGAACGACCGCAGTAAGGATAGCATTGGAGTGTTGTGTCAGGCTGGCGCGGAGTTCGGGATCTTGCGACTCGCAAATGTAACCGATGGCAGTGAGAGACGACTGCTTCAGTGCGTCGTTTCCACTGGCGACATTTTGGACAAGAATTCCCATCAACTCGGGCCACTCACCACGCGGCAACTCGATCGCGGCGATCGAAACAATCAGTGTGGCAGCGGCATTTCCAGCACGAGCATCGGGTGACTGCAAAGTCTTGAGCGCAAGCTCTTTGACCTGTTTCTTGGTATCGGGGTTGATGCTCTGAGCCCATCGGAGTTGCACCTCGCGCAACTTGGCTTGATCCCGGAAAGTGAAAGCGTTCTTCAAAGCGATACCAGCAGCGACACGGATGTGAGCGGGGCTGCTCTCGTTGGCGAGTTCCTGACCGAGGGTGATGAGGTAGGCAGCCTATCGGGTAACAGAAGTATCAGCATTCGAGATCCGAGGGAAATCTTTCACGACTCGTGGCAGGACGAAGGGAGGGGGTAAGTAAAGACATACAAAGTCAACCTCCGCGGCGTGGGCGAGTTGCTGTTCGGCATTGCTACGCTCGGACGCATCTGGCGCGAGGGTACTCTGCAACACCTGACGGGCGTCCATGATGTGCAAAGAAATGAAGGATGTGGGGGGGGGGGGGGAGAGAGAAAAAAGAAGGAAAAAAGAGGTGGATAAAAGATTAGAAAAAAGACTTTAAAACCCCACTGGACCCGGATCAATCAAAGGGTTCGGCACTCGGTGATCACCACGATAGAAGCAGTGGTGGAAAGAGGATTTCCTGTGGAAGAGTGGGAAGAAGGTACGGGTGTTTTTGTGGATATGACGAGGCGGCATGCACTAGGTCTTTCCGCGACAAGAGGCACAGAGAGGAAAAGGTGCCTTGAGTGCACGCCCAGTTTTCAACACACAATAAATAGATTGGAGGGTCTGGGGAAGATGGAAATAGCTGTAGAAGTGCAAGATATGTGAAGAGACTAAAACAAAGATTCGAAGCAAGAAAGACCACAATGAGTTGAGGTTCTACGGGGGTCACCTTCTGATTGGCCCGAGTGCGGGGATTAGTCAGGTGCACGTGATTCTATGCCTCAGGCTGTACCCCTCCCTTGCTCAGCCAAGGAGCGAAGACTTTGTTCACTTTTGCTATAGAAAAGTGATGGATCTGTGTCCTATTTTGACGAGCTCAATTTTCGAAAGTTTGTTGGGGGCCATTTCAGATGTTGAGTCTGTTGAATCCCCATCGGATTTCCGACTATAAGCGTCTCAACTGTATAGATTCACAACTACGCAAAAAAAAAAGTGTTCTGATTATGTTCTACGGTTTTGTATGAGTGTGCCTTAGGTTATGTGGATATTCCAAGTATCCATGAATCATCCGAGGGATCCGTTAGTTTATATATCACTTGTGGGTGAATTTGTGTGCAAGACTTTGCTATTGAAATTGGCGAAGAGACAAGTAGCTTGTATAACTACATGTGAATATGGTCTCCGGTTACTAAGAATAGTCTAGCAGATGTTCTGGTGTTTCTAAGGTTGCATAATAGTGAGTTCTCGAAACTTCTACGACCTCTAGCAAGGTTAGGCTTTGCAACCGTTCCACATCAGATCTTTCAGATCATATCAGGTTTACGATTCAAAGATATTCACATTCATTCACAGAGAGAGCTTGGAAAACCTGCAATAATGGATTGAGGGATTATGTGCATTGTACGCAACACAATATATTGCCTTTTAGCACCTCTGTGATATTTGCGAACTCCTCCGAGGGCGTTTATTGCATCACAGCAAAAGGAAGGATATAAACCCATCAAATCTATGTTACCAGACGCGTACTCTTTCAACCGCACAGCACCTCTAGAGCCGCTTCTATCTTGAGTTCTATTTCAAAGCTCGCACGCAGGCAAATGCATGTCCTCTTCTACCTCATACTTGGCATTAAAGCTTCAACGCTCTTGAATACCTCACCATTGTGGGAATCTGCACACATTGAAGCCAATACATTCTTCCAATCTGTTGCCCAATTCCACTCTATCAGTATTGTCGTGATTGGCCAGCCAATTCTTTTCCATGAGTTTATGCTAATCTGAAAGACATTTTTGAGAACGCAGACGTCCTGCGAAGTGCGCAATAACTACTCGTATATCAAACAGCAAACCGTGAGTCTTGCCTAGATTACCAAACCTGGAATAATTTGTTGATTTAAAAACTCTTTTAGATTCTGCATAATGTGTTCTGTTATACCTTATGTCTACTCATCCTGCGGGAATTGGAAAGAGAAGGCGGGTGAGCTCCCCTGTTTCGAGACACCATGTAAGGGGAAGAAGCCGCGAGATCGGGAGATTCACGAACCCTGTGGTAAATGTAATCACTGCAAGAAGGGATTGGTAACAGGAAATAAATGTTCGAAGAAAATTGATAATGAGAATTGGAATTATAAGTCATTAAATGGGCTGGTGACATCGATACAAAAGCTCTCTAAAATTGTAGACCATAGTAACGTAGGACTTGTCCACTGCGAACGGCTCATTAAATTAGTTAAAGTCGAAGCTTATATATAGAGCATCTCTAAGCTTGTAAATAAAAATGAGCACCGCATAGAATCAGGTCTGTGTTCCACCAAAGCCCGAAGGCAATGGGTATTAGAACGCTGCAACCAAAGATATATTAAACTTCTATGTAGCTAAGCTGGCCAGGCACAAAACAGCCCTTAATAGAACCTTGGACATTTCGTATTCAACTATCTAGAATAATGTGATCTTCTCACACTGAACAGGATGCTCCTAGTGTGACCTGGGCAAATATATGAACAAAGGAGCAACAAAGATTTCTCAGGCAATTTGACCCCTTTGAACTCTCCTACTATTGACTTTGTCTCTTACTCCTCCAGAAGACTCTTCAACGCCTCAGCAGTTGTAATCTTGGGTGGAGCGAGCTCCAATACTGTCTTGCTCGTGGTTGAAGCTGTGCATTTTCCATCCCACGCTGTCTCTAGAGCGTGTTTGACAGAGTAGATCACGTTCTTTGACTGATGAGTTGGCGCATAATTGTGCTCGTAAAGCATATCAAGGAATGACATGTCTTGATAGCTGACATTTTCAACCTGCGTACCAATGTACTGCTTGACCAAATCCACGAGCTCCTCCCCAGTAATATCCTCTGGTCCATTGAGAACATATCTGGCCTTGTTGTGCACTGAGAGATCTTCTTGAGACAAGAGACGAGCCGCAAAGACTCCAACCTCATGAGAGTCAATAACACCGACAGGCGCATCCTTCGATGCCATCATTTTGAGCGTTCCCTGCTTTCCAGTTTTGCGGTACTGTTTGATGAATTCCACGGCACCCGCAAGGTAGAAAGATGTAAAGACGTTGGGCTGGAGTGAAGTCCACTGCAGGTTGGCGAATTCTGGCGAGCTCAGAAGAGTCTCGATCGCCCAGTGTGCACGTGGATAGAAAGCTTTACAATCTGGGCGGACGTTTGCAGCAGTGGTTGAGATTCGGACAACATATTTGACACCGGCGTTCAAGGCAGCAACGTGAAATGTGGACTCTTCAGCGAAGTGGTTTGGATTGGCTTGTGGTGCAATGAATGCTCTGGTTACTTGATGTTCACGGAGCCAGTCAGAGGTGATTTCGACCCAGTTCTGCTCTACCACTTCAACTCCAGGGAGTTTGGCAAGCTTTTGTGCTACTGGACTCTTTGAGGAACGAGTGAGAGCAATGATACGGTGATCAGACAAAGTATTGCTTGATTGAAGCAACGTTGGCAGGGTTTCGACAACAGCCTGGCCAGTGTTGCCTGTGGCACCGACGATGAGAATGGTAGGAGCCATTTTGAATCTGAATCGAGAAAGAGTTTCAAGCAAATTGTAAGATGAAATGTGTTGTAACTGTGTTAACCATCGAGGCACTTGCAGTGAACTTATACTCGTGCCCGGAAATATTTATAGATTACTAAAGAGGACATCATTTCAAACCATAAGATCGTAATAAAATGGTTAATAGCAGTATCCCGCCAGGTGGCAAGTGGGAGACCAGCGGGAGACCGGTGGGAGACCGGTGGGTTGCCGGGATACTTCCATATGTAATCAGCCAATGGCACCCGCTCACGGGAATGATATCAACACACGTCATTTTCATCTCTCAACAGTTTTCAACCTTATGGCAGGCCTAGGCAATGAATTAGATCTTCGAGAATCTCCGGTTACGTCTAGGCCCCATGTCTACAGATGTTACTTCCCTGGCTGCAACGCCAGCTACCGGCGCAAGGAGCACCTACACCGCCATGAAGGAAAACACCTTCAGCAGTCTTTTACATGTTCCAATTGTGGTCGAGAGTTTGGACGAAGGTATCTCCCTTCAGCGTGGACTCATTCTTGCAAACACTTACTCTAATTTAGTGACACACTTCGACGCCATCTCCGTCAGCGTCATGGAATAATTGAACCTCTTAAGCGTGCAGAGCGTGCTTGCGAGAGCTGCCACGCGGGGAAATCTCGGTGTGAAGGAGGTGTTCCCTGTATTGAGTGTCTACGCCGCAAAATCCAGTGCTCTTTCCCGGACTCTGCTGGTACGGCGGAAAATCAATCCCCCAGATCCGCAACACATCGTACATCGAGGGTGAAGCATGATCAGCCACGGGCACAGAATACAGAAAAGACGGAGAAGTACATCCGTCTTTATTTTGAGACTTTTCATCCCTCTTGGCCATTCATCCACAAAGGATCATTCAACATTCGTCGTGAAGCGCCCTTCCTGGTTCAATCAATGGTCGTTATAGGCCTGTGGGCTACTAGAGAACAGTCCGCACAGTCAGCAGCAGTGGAGCTCCACGGTAAACTTGACTTGGCCCTTAGAGATCAAAAGGTTTGCGCCACTTCCCCACGATATGCCACTTTACTAAGGCTCGATCGGTAGGAAAAATGGGATGCCTCTGAAACAGCTGAAGCTTGCAGTACCTGTGTCTGGCCAATAGCAACGTACCAGGCTATCCTATTGCATATTATCTTCTCTTTTGTTATCAGCAGCCGGACTGCTATCGACTTCGACTTGAAGATCTCTCTTCCCCCTGCTGATTTGGGGTTACTCGAAGCTCTTGTCCTCAGCTGTCGAAGGTTAGGCATGTTCTATTATCCGAACATTCTTGCCAAGTATGAAGAAGCTGTCTTGAATTCGTTTATATGGGTTAGCATTGAGGAAATCAAACGATTTAATATAACCCTGTACAAGGTTTGTGGGAAGGCAAGCAGGTCTAGTATAAGAGACGGAAGCCATGGTGATAGTAATCCAGTACGGCCCTCGCTAACCGCAGGTGAACTTCAGTTCCCGCCACCGAACAACTGCCCTTTGTGGAATGCCGTTGGCGCGAATGAATGGATGGCTTTTGCGAAGGAGGAAAAGCTGGTTTCTTTGGATGATAACTGCCAGGAGAAGTGGATATCAAAATCTGCAGAGTTATTAGAATTCCTTACGTTATAGAATTCCAAACATGGGAATGACTACCGGCACATTTTCGATTATCCTGCACTTAACAAGAGACATTACCCCCTATCCACGGCTAGACGTAAACTCCTGCTCAATACAAATGTACCTTTTGCTGGGGATTCACATATAAAAGGCACATGCGGCTAATCATCTAGTTTTTCCTCAAGGTCTAATAAAGATTGATAGATATTAGATAAATCCAATTTCACTATTATGTTTGTATATAAAACTATATCGTACCATTCCAATGTCTAAAATTCGCGTTACTATGATGTTATAGCAGGAGGGGTTTAGAGGGGTGTTCAAATAACCTCCGAAAATTGTTCGCACTATATCTACACGAAAAGCCCTCTTTGAGGATTGTTTATTATAGAAGGTATATATCGTTAGGTACTTAGGAATACGGCAGGGAGGCAATGCCAACAGGAACACGCTAGCCTATCCTATACACTACAAATCCCATCGAGGATACCTCTAGGCCTCTCCATGACTCGGATGGACACTCATAACTTCATCGTCAGATGAATCAATGACGCTAGGCCCGCCGTTAAATATACCAGCTATGTGCCTTTTATTACAAGGAATAATTTGTTCAATCCAATCCCAATCTAAATCAGTGCCCCTCCGACAACTCTTGTGGTTCTCTGGTTGACACATCACCGGAGCCGATCTCTGACCTTGCTCGGCCATCTAGCTCTTTGGGATTCAAGCTCCCCCCAAGTTCTGAATATACCGCAGGCGATCGCGATAGACTGTACTCTTGATTCTGCATTTGCTCTGGTGACTGGTATGGCCGTTGCTTCCGACGGCGAATGAGCAAAAAGAGGACAGCAATTATAGCAGCTATGCCAACAACACCGCCGACTACACCACCAGCTATTGCGCCTGTGTTGGTATGCGATGAGCTACCCGAGCTGCTAGATCCAACTTTTGCGGTGGATGAAGATGAGGGCGATGATGAGGACGTTGCCGTTGAAGTCAAGACGGGCGTACCTATGCACCATTATATGTCAATATTCAATATGCAGGCTCGTTGTGCGTTCAACTAACCAGAAGCGCTACTTATAACATCCAAGGTGTCGTAACTATCGTTTCCGGGGAAACTTTCACCGGAGCACCCGACCAAAACTCGATCGTTGACATGGAATCCCGACTCTCCTTTGTCGCAACAAAAATACCCGTCCCAGTCAAATAGATTCCAGCTTCTATTTGCGCAATTCGGAGCTTTTGCAATGCTTTGCGTGCAATTGTTATGGTTGTCACAGCATATAATATTGGGAACGCTGGTCTGCGAGTCAAAGCAGAAAGAATTTCCGGGGCAACATGCTTGGAAATTACCCCATGTCGAATTTTTTGTACATTGTGTCTCGTTACTGTCGCACGTGTTGTTTCGTCTAATCGCGTAGCCTTTCACATATTCAGACATTGTGATTAGGGGCTAGAGTATGAGGGCTGAAATGAAAGATGAGGGAGCGGAAATTGAGGTAAGATCGTGATAGGGAATGGAAGTTATCAATTGCTCTTCGCTCTTCGCTCTTCTAAAATTAGAGAAGGTCGTACGCGAGACTAGTGCACTAGTCTGGTAAATTTACAACTATGATGCCTCTCGCCAATTGTTATTTAGTCTACCCCAGTAGGATAAAATAGACCAACCCGAAGCTGTGATTTAGGTGTGGAAGGGGACCGGATTCAAGCGCTGCGGTCAAGTAGACAAGTTGGAGAGAACTTCCTGTTTCAAGTATAAAATGCTGTATGTTGTAAATTTTCGTTGACACACTCTTCGCCGATCTGCATAAGCCAAGCTGTGTGTTGGTCCACAAATAAGCTTAGTACTTCCATCCACAGCCAAGTCTCTTAGACTTTCACCAATAGCCCACAGAGCTCACCTTTGGGCTTTATGTCTTGGCGGGGGCCGGCCCCATACATCGAGTGAAGTGTGGTATTTCAGTATCTTTTACACAAAACGAGTACATATGAATACGCACTTCCCCTGTGGCCGGGGACATTCAGTAAGCTGCGTGCGAGAGGCATTTCTTCATTCCTCCGTTGAACTCTTTTCTTTTCTGTTCTACTCCGTTATACGTTGTTTGCTGGTGATTCTCGAAAAAGAAGTCTAACAACTCAGCAACGATCACTAAGTTCAGCCCCCTAATCCGAGATTGATCCACCACAATCAACTATGTCGATCTACAATATGTGAATGAGGCAGTCGGGATTTTCGACTTCCATGTAATAATATCTTAGTTCTCATTATTCTCTTCATCACTATCGAATACTTCCTCCTCCTCCTCCTCCTCATCATCCTCATCCCCGTCTTGATAATCCTCATCTTCCTCATCCTCTCCCATGGCAGCATCCAAATCCAAAACATCGTACCGCATAGCATCCCCATACAAAACACAAATAGCGCGTCGTCCCTTCTGTCCATTAACATCAACATGCGCAGGTCGCGCCTTAGGGCCATGTAGAGCAAAGCGGTGTATAAGGACACCCGCATGAGGGGATTCTGCCGAGAGATCTAGTGTCGTAGCCGATATGGTAGGCTTGGGAGCGGATGGTTTGCTGTCACAATCGATGTAGTCAAGGACAAGAAGTGATGGGTCGGCTGTCTCGCTTTGGGGTTGTGTTGAGGCGGACTGGAAGGGGAAGTTGAGGAGATGGGAGGATCCCTCTGTTCGGATAGATTGTTAGGTATTGCATATAGAACGTAGGATAGGAATATGACAACTCGATGTGTGAGTGACTTACTGCTGTCGCGCCAGAGAACCATGAGTGTGTTGTCGCTGACGAATTGGAGTTGGCGGACTTCGCCGTTTTGGAGGTCGAGGGTTGCAAGAGATGTGCTTCTTGTTGAACTGACGCCGCCGACTGAGTTGAGGATGACGCGGTAGATATAGACTAGTTGCGAGGATATAAGCAACTATAATTAAAGGGTGATTGTATGACGAACCTTGATGTTTTGAGGTGGCTGATCGAGTAGCGACGTATATCGAGCAAGGCTGGCCTTCCATTGCATCCTGTTCCATAAGTTAGCATCCGGGGCAAGATAAAAGTTATCAGTCGCAAACTCACCTCGTAGCAGAAAGTTAGATCGATAACCTCTTGGTCGCAATCGGAGTGAAGCGTCAAAGGCGAACGATGGAGAATTCCCCTGCGCTGAGTCAAGGCAATCTCTCCAAAGACCTTCTCAAACTGGATACCTAGACGCTTCGTCAAGTCATTGAGCTTAGGCGTCTCGACCGATGTCCCATCACCACCCTTATCCCGAGCTTCGCGTTGCTGTTGAAGAAGTGACTTGTAATTGTCGAAGAACGAGCGGTCGTGGCCGCCTGAGAGCCACTTATCAGCGGGAGGGGCAGGGGGCTGAACAACTCCGAGCATAGGAAGTTGGCGGATAAAGTTCCGCAGGGCACTTTTGGTCAATGCGCCTTTAATATACTTCACAGTAGGGGGAACATCGAACAAGTCCCTCTTCTCCTGCATCTCTTCTAGTGTTTGCGACAAGGGGTCGCTGTTAAGAACGTGGATTTCTTGATGAAGCCATCTGGAGAAAGCAGCGAATTGACCCAGTTCCTCGTTAGCATGAGTGAGAACACGGTGCGCAAGGACATGGAGACAATCAAGTGTCTCCACGATAGTATTGAGCTTGGTCGTATCCAGCCCAAGGACATCGCTTAGCTTGTGGAATTTAGACAATCCAACCAATCGACTGAGAAGAACTTGACTGCGTTCCAGGGCTGGGAGAAGACATTCGTGGGTTAGTCGCCGGATATTCTCATAGCCGCCCGAGACGGCCTTATCCCATCTCTTGTGGCCCTAGATCGTTCATTAGCACACTATCTCTCAAATAGCAGGGGTGACATACTCTTTCTCCAACAATATCCGTAAGGAACTCTTTCATCGGCTCAAAGCAATGACCAGTGACCACCAGATGATAGATAGCAGTGATAAAATCACACTGGCATTTCTCCTGCAAGTCCTCATTAACACTGCGCAAGAACCGCGCAGGAAGCTCCTGGGCATTCTTCCACTCAAGCTCAATCTGCCGCTGCACCTGACCAATATAGCGCAGCAAATTCTGAAGTTGAGTAGTCTTTGACGCAAGAAGAGACAGATATCTCCCAGACTTTGTAATAAAGCGAAGATCCATCGTAACAAGCTCAAGCGGACCACGAGTATCTCCCTTAACCGGCGAGACCAGCAGAGCATGCGTAGAGCTCAAGGGGTGCGAAGAATGCCGCAAGATACGACACGAGTCGGGGATACCGGGGGAGCTTCCCACAGGGAAAGAGCCAATCTCAAAGCAATCAAATATGCGCAGGTGGACAGTGCCATCGTCGAACCCGACAGATAGCACATCAACGGAGTCGTTGTTATCCTTCGAAGAATGGAAGATGGCGTCGAGGGACGCCCGCGAGCTGAAGACATCGTCCTCGCCTCCTGTTGCAGGCAGGGTACTCAGCTTTGGCAGCGAGCTCTCAATGTCCAGCAAGGCAAGTTCCCGAGGTAAATCTGCTTTAAGCATCGTAGTTGCTTTGGAAGGATACACTCCCGGGGCTAGAAGATCGTCAACGGACACCTGGCCCGCGGATTCATCCAAATCCCGCTGTGCGGCTTTGCTATCGGTGAAATTGACACCCCACCCAACGCACGTTGCCTTGGGTGTTGGGTTTTCAGTGGGATTGAAGTGCTCCTCTTTCTGCTGGTAGGTCTGGTAGTGATGCACCGTCTTCCCAGTGTAGGAACTGATGATGCGGAGTGAGCCATCTCCGCACGCGACAGCTAGGAGGCGACCTGCTGTAGCGTTAGTAAATGATCGGGTGTGGTATCAATAAGTAAGGCCAGTAAGATCTGATCATAGAAAAGTATATATAGCAAAGCTCGGTGACAAAGAAATTCAAACCCACCATTCCTCTTCCACGCCATCCCTCTAATCTCGCCATCCTCTTCATCCTCGCCTAGGTACGGATCTCCACCAAAAGAACCACCAAACACTCGCTGCCCATTAAGCCGGAATACGCGCAGTTCGTCATCCTCGGTCGCCAGCGCTATCAGGTCCATCGTGGGACAGTACGCCACGGCCTGCGCCTTGCATTTTGCTGGTAAGGACTTCTCCCCGACCGGGGTCAGTTGGGGGCCCTCGGCTGCCATTATGGGTATTTCCTTTTCAAAACAGATGGCACATTCAGCCCATTCTTATTTTGAGAACATTAAAGGTTCAAGAATTGAGGTGTGGCGCTGTTCCTTTTTGACTGAAGCTGTTGACCGCGGGTGGTGGATACAGAGGGATTCTTGGCGCGTTTTGGTGTTCCGATCTGTTGGTATGGGACCAACAAACACCACTCTGGAGTTTACATTTGGTTCTCCTGTCTACTGGATTGGTAGAATTTATATATTTGGGACTGTTTTTCTTTATTTTATCTCTATTGAGAGCTAAATGATACATGTGCGGAGGACGAAACCTCCACCGACGACCAGCGCCGGCAAAATGATAATAAAAACATGAGAATGATGATGCCAGACAAAAGTCTCTGAGAGGGAATCTCTTGTCAAAATGGAGTCCCATCCATGTCAGCCTGGATCAGATTCTTCAGATAACTGAGCTCATCCATCAATTCCTGCATGGTAGCATTCCCTTGGAACGAGGCGTTGCTGCGACGGGAGCGAATGCGCTCAATGGAAGTCTCGCTCACTTTCCGCTCTGCGATAGGGAGATTACGTTCCGTGTCGGAGCCTTTGGGGAGCTCGGGAAGCAGGATAGGGGAGCCATTGGGGCTGCGCGACATCGCAAGGGCCTCCATGGACTCGAGGGCGCTAAATAGGGCAGCGTGGCGTTTGGGGTTGCTTTCCACTTCATCCATGTTCTCAATGCCCAGACCAGAACAGTCGATTCCTGGTGAGGACAGGGAGACGGTGAGTTGGGGGAGACCGACGCTCCAGGGAGGGAGTTCTCCGGATGCTGAGTTCGGAGACGATGGTTTGGAGTAGACAGTGAGGTGGGGGGTATTTGGGTCGGTATTGGTTGCGCCATCGCCAGACTGCGAAAGGTCTGGTGTTCTCCATCTTTCGTCGGACAAAGTCTCGTCCTGGTGGTGATCAGATACGGAGGCCGATGTCATCGATTCGTGCGGGTTATAGTCGGTGTCGGTGTCGGTGTCCGTACTCCATTCAGAGAACCGGCTGTATTCAGGCACCACATGGGAGTTGGTAGAGTCGATTGTTGTTGTTGTCATGCTGGAGAAGTAACTGCGCGGGATCTCGCCATCCATCGCCTTGTCTCTCTCGTCAATGGCGCGAACTGCTTCATCCATGACTGAAGATGGCGTGTTTGGCAGTGTAGGGAGCCTCTTTTCTTTACTGAACGCGGCAGTTGGTGTGGGCAAGTCACCGGAGCTAGCAATATCTTTCAGAGCTTCCCTGATCGCGCGGTTTTCGTCGAATGCCGCGGTATTTCCGTTTGCTGCGCCTCGAGAAGGACTGCGTTTGCGGGGCTCCGGACGCGTCTGCACTGTGAGAAGACGGCCCGGTGCCGTTTCCCCGGCGGTTGCTTTCATCGCGCGACGACTTTGAATAGTGGATGGATCAAGTTTGTCAGGAGAGCTGGATGGAATCGCAATTCCAGCGTTGACCTTGATTCCAGGAATATTGCGGCGATTCTCAATGGTCTCTCTCTGTTGTGGTACCATTTGAGAAGCATTCACTGGTCGCACTGGCTCAAACTTTCTTTCCGCCTCAGCGGGCTGCCTCAAAGCAGCTAGAATGGCTCGGGCTCTCGGGGGAGACATAGAACGTGAATCTTTTTTGTGGCCCTTACGAGCGGCACTGGGTTGAGATACACTCCGGTGAATTCCAGCCATTGGAGATTTACCGGAGTACGCGGGGCTCGGTTCGCGGTGAACTAGTGCAGCTGTCTGAAGACGTATAGGCTGAGGCTGGGGCGGCGGCTTCCGCGGGTTCATAAACTTGTCTTCGGGGTTCATAGTCCGAAGAGGTTCGGATCTTTGGGAACTGCCACTCGCCGAGCGTCCATGTGCGTGGCTGTCGGGTAAGATGATAGGGACATTCAACACATTCATGGGCTGCCCTGGAAGAAGCGGGCACATTGATGTTGTTGGCTCTGCCTCGTTGTAATACTCTATATCATCGTCGAGCAAATACTGTTTTCTTCGTTAGCTCTATCATCTCATATGCGTGAATATGAGCCTCACATAATACCAGTAAGTAGCACCCATTTTCAGACCTCCCGTTCGCCATTGGGTTTTATCTGGTCCATCGCCTATCATATCGGTAAAGGTATGACATCCTCTCCAGTGTCCGGGTCCGACTCGCTTGTCTTTTTCCATCACATATTGCTTGGAGAAATTATCCCATGATCCGAGCAGCTTGACCGACCGGATCTCGGGTTTGGTAATCCTGGATTGCGGTCAGCGCATGAAGACATCAATTGGACTGGGCACACTCACAGTAGGAAAGTCATGAGGGTAGTCGAGATCATCGCAAAGACAAGAATAAGAGTAAAAGAGAGGTACTGGCACAGATGGAAAAAAAAAGAATAAACCAATGCAAGAAAATGCACAACAATGCAAAACAAGGAACCAAAGGAAATGCTAAAAGACAGAATCCCCGTAGAATACGCGCAAATGCAAGGCAACGAAAAGGTAGTCTATAGAGGTCAAAAGAAAAAAGGCAGCTGAAAGCCCGAGCTCATATAACAAAACAAGGCTCACAGGCAGTCCAGACACAAAGCTAACTCCACAAAGGCGGTTCTATAATTACCGGGGGTTGGAAACTGTACCTGTTTCAAAAGTCGAGTGACAGGTCTAAGAATAAACGGGTTTCAAGTGTGTTCGGGGCAACGCCGCAGACAATCACCACTATTCCATGGCCTGGACGCAGGGCCCAAACCAAATAATCGAATAGAGGCGGATCAGGAACCGCGAGGGTGCAATTTCCCCAGCGCAGTGTAAGGCGACAAGGTTGACCAATGAACGGGCGGAAGACGGAAGCGCCGACCACTCGGGTGTTCCTGCGTAGGGGCGGCGCTAAGAGCGAGATTTTTGAAACAGGAGACAACTGAGGTTGAAACGGTAGAAACGGTAGAAACGGTGAAGGCAGAAGAAAAGGTGCGAAATAGGTTTTTAGGACGATCGGCGCGGGGATTTGACGATCCAAATTGGCGGTGATGAGGGGTGGAGCTAGGGTTTAATAACCTGTTGATCTATGTGATCAACGGATTATAGCTAAAGCACAAAAGAAAAGAATATGATCTCTGATTCTCTGATTCTCATGGTGTGGCTTGGGATGCTTCCGTTGTGGTTCGTCGATCTCTATGCAAGGTACTCCGTAAGCACAATTAGATTAGTTAGTGAGATTAGTGAGATTAGTGTGGTTAGTGTGATTAGATTAATTAGATTAATTCGATGGGTTCTCCTTGGCTATATTAATTAGATTAAATTGGTTTTTGGTTATATGATACCAAAAATATATACTATGTAGAGCCTATTCTAGAAAAACACCCATGTTTAGAAGCAAGGTCTCTCTGCAAGGAAGAAAAGACGTGATCTACTAGGCGCTAGTTATGCTCATTGGCGAGATTAAATAGAAGCTAACAAAAGCTAACAGGGATATATCCGAGAATTCTCCACCCGGGCGGTTGCAATTAATTCTGTCAAAATATGCGATTGGTAGATAATGATCAACTCAATCCGACCTAAACCAATCTCTATACAATTTTCTTCCGATCCAACCTCTTATGAACAGCCCCAAGTACAGCTTTCAAAATCCCATCCCCTTCCAATCGCTCCCCAGCCCGATTTCTCCAAGGAACAGTATCAACAATGTCCCTCAGGTGTAAATTATTACACCGTGTTCCAAGATCTTCATCCAATTCCTCCAAATATTGCTGAGCCATCTGGTCATTCCCAATCTGAAAGAACTGAATCCCAACCTGCCAAGGAATAGCACGACAAGCAGGTCCATCCAGCCTCTGAGCCGTCTGGATAATAATACTCTCTGCATCATCGGTGAAAACACCGTCGGTAATCGTGATGATATTAATCGGGGTAACCGACTCTATCGGCTTAGAACGGTCCGAGCCAGAGGCATACTTCTTCGCTCGCTTAGCTGCTTCTTTTTGTGCTCGTTTCGCTGCTTCTTTCTCTTCCACCAGATCCATGTACGGGTCCAGGATATTACGCAGTCGACTCCCGACTCCCGTTCCGCCAGAGGGTCTGACGGAGGCGAAGATCTCGCTTACTCGTTGCGCGGTTCTGATGTTGTAGTATCCGCCGTCAAACTGTGGGCATTCGATGAGGTCGGAGCTGTCTGTGTAGTTGGCACTGTAATTGGTGTTGTATTTGGAGTTGGGCTTTGATCGGTGGTTGATGAAGTAGATATCGATTCCCTCCTTGTCATATTTTGTGCAGACTGGTGCGATGGCTGCGATGGCTTCTCTGGCTTCTTGCCAAAGTGTGCCCCTCATGCTTGAGCTGTCGTCGACCAGGAAGACAGTGTGGAATTGGCCGAGGAAGGCAAACTGGGAATCGGATTCTAGTTCTTCGGGGGCGCTGATTCTGATTGTTGGGAGTCGCGCTTCTTCGTACGGTGGTGGAAGGTCTGATGATTGCTCTCTTGGGAGCTTTGATGTATTGGAGCTATGTGTGCGACCTCGGGACCATGATGGATAATATGTTGGTGCCGTCGCGGTTCCTGTTGTAGTGGTCCCTGCTTTGCGCTCCTTACGCTCTTGCCGAAGACTGGATGAGAAGGAGTGCCATATAGACATCTTTTCAGAAGCGCCCATGGCTGAAGAGTGTATATGGTTTAGATGAAGTGCAGGCGAGGAAGATCTGCTAAATAGACTTGAGTGTCTTAGTAGGCTGCTCAAGTCCTTAAATGATATGTTCCAAACAAAGAATTTGACTCAGGAAACACCTTCTTTATATCTATTCCGTGTCTGACATTTACAGCATGGGCTCGGCTGTGATACCTAGTGTACAAAGAATGGTATGAATAGGGTAGAAGGGCCAAGGCACACTTGGGCAGTTAATGACCAATAAAGTTTTACCCCTAACACATGGCAGCGACAAGGATTTTAATCTAAAAGTCAGCCCGAAGGATGTTAAAGGTACAGAATGGCATCGGAATTTGCGAGGCAGATCAGCCCTATCGTATTTGAAAGTGGTTATTAAGGAGGAACAACCTTGGGATGTTACTCATTCGTGTATAGCCACCGCCTTTGTGTGGCCCGGGCAACAAACTAGATGAGTAGAGTCATACGGGGTTTGAAATTTAACCAATCATATAAGCCATTTCCTACGCACAGACAGGTCTCCTGTGAGTGGCGGAGCGAACACAGCACACAGCACACAGCCCCCGCATACGGCAAAAGTGCACAGGGGGCAGTGTAGTCTACTTCACACTCTGCTCTAGAGATGAGCGAAAGTCCCATCATCCTTTCTAGAATTATATTGGAAGTTTGACTAATGAGGCTCTAGTTTTCCTTCGATTGAGACACTGCGTGATTCATGATAATCAAAACACGCGCCCTATAACACAAAAAGAAATACATAAATCATCAGACATGTAATAACGCTATTGGTGCAATGTGATGAATAAGAGAGAAGAAAATAAACAAAGAAACAAATACATCCGTCGCTTTATACCCCGAGGCAACTATCTTCTTTGGGAGCCAATTGAACTAGATGTCGCCCCATCAGATCAGGCGTACCAGACACTTCAGCCTTCTTCCTTGGTCACAGAATGTAAAACTCCAGGATCAGCAGCGACAATATCCGCCACTGCCAACGCCTGATCTATACCCAACGTGTGTCCAATCGACTCCAGACACTTGACCACCCAGCGGCGCAACCCGTGTCGGGGGTTCTCAACCACTCCAGCGACAAACAAATGCCAGAGGACCACAAGACCTCCAAGGTAGCTTTCAGGCGGCGGAAGAGTAGGGTCCCTATCTATCTGGTGAGCGTTCAAGTGAAACGGAACGCTGCGACAGATCTCCACGGCCAACCGCCGGATCGTTAGCCGCAGCGTCCTGCAGTGAAGACGGAATTCTTCAGACAACGAGTCCATAGAGGAACTGTCTGATAATTGCCAGACGCGGGAGAGGATGATCTCGCTGACTATGATTCGGGCGCTGCGGTATTGGTTCCACGAAGTGCAGACCCACTGGGTGGGATACACGTGGTACTGATCGTCGTATGGCGATATGCCTCGGAATCGCCTTTGGAAGGTAGAGTCGAAGGGGGATTTTACATGGGTGGTATAGTTGAATTCGGGGGGAAGAGCTGCCAGCCAGGCAATCAAATCGGCTTCGATGACTGAGGCTGCTGATATGATTTCCCGGTCATTTTTGTAAGTATTAGTGCGGATGTCTGCGCGGAGGTTCGATACTTTGGCAATTATCATGGTCAGGAGATTGCCGTGAGCTTCTGCTGGCTGGAGAAATATTGCAAGTTTCGTGCATTCGAGTAGTGACTCGGGCACTCGTGCGTCTCGTTGTAGGCAGCTGACGATCTGTTGAGGGGTTAGCTTGAAGTCAAAGGAAGGATTGATGACCCTCACAATCTGATACCGAAGGTGCAAAAACAAGCGGAGACCGGCGTTAGTCTTGAGTTGATCAGGCCCTCGTATATCCAGTAGGGCTGTTGCCCCATTTATATGGTTGGTCCAACTGTGAATATCTTTCGGGGCTCTTGATGTAATCACCTATAAACAGGGCGTCAATAACTATCCGAGGCGTCAAAATTTCAAAATCCCTTACTTCATATATGGCAAGCAGGATGACCGCGCCTAATGTTTGATTTGTTTTCGCCTCTTCTATATCGGCTAGAGCGCCGTTGAGCAATCTCAGAGCGGATCCATACTCCCGGTGGGCTACATCTCTAAGCGATGGTAACCGTCTTACTCGCGAGAGCATGGCCGTGGCAGTAGCAACCACGCTTGCCTGCATAGCTCTCTGGCTCGCAGAGCCCCCGGACTGCATCAAAAAATTGGACATAGTCTCGCTAGTCCAGAAACTGCCGGGGAGAGCATTGGATCGCAGGAAATAACAGACTGCTTCATATTTGGCGACTTCAAGCTCCTGTGACGGCTGTATCTCCAATGGGAAGTTCCCGAGCTGTCGCATAAGATAGATATGCTGTGGATCGGAGTGGAAATCAAAGTCTGGATCCACCAGGGTACTGAGCTCAGACCGCACAGGATTCCCTTCTGGGATTGCAGTGCGAGGCAACCGCTCCGCTCGTTTATTCTTATAAGTCGAGGCCGCCTTCGCCTTTCGGACTACCGATTTGCTTTCGTCGCGGAACATTAGCGACAGTTGATCCCGATATCCGGGGCAGTCCCGCTTGGCCCTGGTGCATTGCGAACAGGCCGGTTGGGCTTGGTCACACCGAATCTTCCTGGACCTGCACTCGCCACATCCTTTGCTTGGTTTACCACAGTATACCATATTCTGCTCTTGATAAATTATTGCACATGGTCCAAGGTAGAAGTACAGTACTCCGTAAGACATAAAGCAGACGTTGCTCAGCCCCATGTCTAGACCGCGCTTAACCGCTTCGGGTATGCTTTGCGACCCCAATCTTCCACTGTCGATCTTACTTAGAATAATGCGGATGCCATAGGGTTACCTCATATAACATATGGTATAGCCAGTGAACAAAACGTATGGGGTATAAAAAAGTAAAATCACCATAGGCTTGTGTTTAGGGCAATAAGCGAGTAGCATATAATATATATCCCGCCTGCATGGAATACACCCAACCAGAATGTCGAAGATCCTCGCAAGATTCTCGACCATGTATTATACTAACAACATCCCTCCTAGCCAACGAAAAGTTTCCACATGGAGAAATTTCATGAACTAGACTAGCCCAGGGTAAACAGACTCACGAACACGGCCAAGATAAAGTATAGGACCTGTTCTTGGCAATGAAATTGTCATTGAATCCTCCACAGTTGAGTGTGAGATGTTTAATAACAGAAATATATCCAGCTTGTAGGCTTTGTACTCATTTTAGTGAAGAGACAGGATACCAAATGCAAGTTCAAACATCCAAGTAAAGCCGTCAACTTGCGATAAACACAACAGTAACAATATCGAGGCAGCGAGTGAGAGCAGAATTCATATTCATTTGATTTAGATATTTTTTTTATTTTATTAAGGTTTCTCACTAACGCTTTCCATTACTCTTCATCTTCTAATTTCCACATTAATCCAAGAAGAAAAAACAAACCGTGGAAAAAACTTTTGCATTAAATTTCATTTATTGTATTAAGTATCGAAAGCTCGAGATGCATATATAGCCCTTGTGACTATTACTCTGCTCGCCTCGGTGGAGACTCAAATCTCAGCATCAATTTGGTTCACACGCTTCCTCTTTCCCCTAGAAAGTCCACTGGAGTCCGAATCCTGCTGCACAAACGAATTGGTTCCGTCATCATGCCATTCGCTAAATTCCCATTGGATCGAAGTCGATTGATCATCACTGACTCCCATACCACGCCGAGAACGCATCAAACGACCCAAGCGGCTCCCTTCTACCATCTCTTCGAACCAAGGGATCCCCCCGGTCCTACCGTGCTGCAGACTCCTAGAGATATTCGGAGAATCATTAGATGGTGGAACAATGACAGAAGACGAAGCGGTCTCGAAGGCTGGTGCTAGATCAGATGAGGTCGAGGCACCAGCACGGGATGTTTCCTCGTCAGAGTCTTGAGGCAGTAATTTTAAATCATCCAGTGCGCGCTGGTCATCCGCTAGCAGACTGCCAATCGTGATAGACATAAAGTTAGATTCTTCGATGGGATCCTCCGTCCAGAACGTCAAAGGTGTGCCGCAGTAGCCACAAAAGACACGCTGGGTCTGGGGTGCATGGCGAGGCGAAAAAATGCGGCGAATGGAAGTGTGAGATTCATCTGGGAAGAATGACTGAGTGTGGGATTGATACCAGCCGAGAGGCACCCGTAGCCATGCTGAAAGAGGTGTGCCGTGAATGCGACCTAGGATTCGATATTAGCCGGGAGATCGACAGGCTTGGCTTGGTTTTACTTACGATTGTCTCGGCTGCCGTCGAAGTACACTTGCGCATGATCTTTCACATCTTCTGGAATATTAATTTGGTATTCGTTTCGACCGCAAGAGCATGAGCCGCGAAGAGGCTCGAAGTCCATGGTGGTACAAGAACTTTCGGGGCGTTGGTGACTTGGTAAAGGTTGGGCTAGATGGTTATAGATGAGAAATAAACCAGGCAACCGTTTCGCCTATTAGATATCCTAATTGAAGCGGAAATAACACTTGATCCAAAAAAGGTGTCAGGATTAAATTACAAGGAGTGAGAACAAAATTGCCATGGAAAAAAAGAAAAAGCAAGATGTGTTCAGCGGACCCTCTCTATGACGTTTAGAGGTTGCCAAGTCCCGTTCTTGGCCTCCAGTTTACTCCGCATTGGGTTTGGGCCTTATCGCTTCCTATCGGTTTCCCGTTTCTCTTTTCATATTCTCCCATTGTTTACCTACAATCACCTCTATGCCTTGCTTCGACAGAGACCCAGAACAGCCATAGCAATCCGAATCCAATCCAAGACGCGAGCGAACCTTGTATACTCTCGGCGCTTCTACCCCACGCCTTCAGTTCCTCTTAAAATCCTCCAGTCATCAATCGCCACGATGAATCCAGACGATGACCATGATCGATCGTCCTCGACGCCAAATGGGACATCCAAGCAGGGATCTGCCCAGGACAAGGACAAGCCTCGCCTTACCGATCAAGAAAAAAAGAGCAACCACATTGCCTCGGAGCAAAAGCGACGCGCGGCCATTCGTGAAGGCTTCGATCGCTTGACAGAACTGGTGCCTGGTCTGGAGGGCCAGGGCCGGAGTGAGAGCATCGTTCTACAAAAGACTGTGGATTTCATCCACGTGAAGCTGCAAGAACGCCACGATCTTATCGCAGAGATCGAAAGCAAAGGCGGCCGCGTAGACGACTCTTTCCGCCCAACGTAATCCTACTTCCCTCGGCATCTCATCGCGCTTTCGATCAGAATCCTGCAGCCCCCCTGTTCCCCTCCGCTGGTCGATATGGTGGGATCCGGGGCCGCAAGCATGTGCCGAGGTCCGAGCGGTTTTTCTCGAATCTTGGACCACATGGATCTTATACCCACACTACGAATCTCTTTTCTTGTCTATCTATTACCCCATGTCTTACGAACAAGACCTTCGAAATGATCAACAGCGGGGCTTCCTCCTTGCCTGGCAGATCTGGTTTTCGTATATGATTTGATGTCAATCACACATCCTCCACCGTATTCAGTGGACTGAACGACTGTCAATATGATGCCACATCTTTTGTAATTCTTGTCTTTCTACTTGTTTTGATTATTGTACATTGAATCTTTTTTTCTTCTGGTTTGTTTCTGCTCCTAGGTACCAGAATGTATATGGTCACGGCTGTTGCTACGAAGCAACCGGGGCGTTTTTCTTTCCCAATGGCTAGCCTGGAATCGAATTCTTCTTTAGCCCTGAATGAGCACCCACATGCACATCCTCAGTTTCAATTCAAGTTGGAACTATTTCACCGAGCCGTACTTTGATCGCATCACGTGAACAGAGTTACGGAATAATTCCAGTCAAGTTTCCTGGATTGCTAACCATATTATACAAATAATTATATCTTACAGGATCGAAAATCTAGATGAAGTAGTTAATGCAGCGGCGACTGAGGTGGTATTTCATATACTGCAAGTGTTTTAGGAGGTTGCAAAAGCCATAACACTAATGTATACCCGAGAGATCTTCGGCTTACCGCCTGATATCTGCCGGCGAAACCGAGCCACTTCCAGGTGAAGCAACGCAGACTCAAAATTCAAAACAAACCCATAATATACAAGACTCGTGGACAGTCGGGACCTCCAATTGAATATCCCTCAATTCCCTTTCAAGGTCAATCAAGTGCAGACAACGACCGTCTGCCTCGAAAAGCGAACGGAAAGAACACCTGATTCCCCGCATCACATTACTGCCCGCAACATCCACAACAAATCACCAAACAGACACCAAACCACCCAACATGGTAGACTCAAAAGAAGCTCTCCTGTCTCATATGGAAGACCTGGATACCCCCGAATCCGATCCACCCCCAGCCTACGACAAACCCGTCCCGAAAGCTCCCCGCGGTGCACCACTCCCACGCCCACCACCTCTCAGCCTCCCAGCCCTAAACAATCTCCGCAGCCAGCGCGTAATCCTGGCCTCCCAATCCCCCCGACGCAAACAAATAATCTCATTCCTGGGCCTCCCAAACCTAGAAATCATCCCCTCAAACGCCATCGAAGACCTACCCAAAAGCCTAGGCCCGTTCGAGTACGTGCTCGCAACAGCAACGAAAAAAGCCCAAGCAGTCTACGAGCAAGAAGTCAACAACGAGATCAAGGGTGAGCCGGCCCTAATCCTAGCCGCAGACACGGTCGTCGTCGACGCGACTAGTGGCACCATCCTCGAAAAGCCACGCTCAGAAGCACACCATTTCAACATGTTGTGCTCGCTGCGTGATGCCCGAAAGCACAAGGTCTACACTGCGCTTGTGGCTATGGCACCGTTGGCTAGTGCCCGTGACCCTGGGTATGCGATTGAGAGTACGGTTGAGGAGACGTCGGTGCAGTTTGATGGGGATGTTACGGATGAGTTGATTATGGCTTATGTGCGTACCCGGGAGGGTGCGGATAAAGCTGGTGGTTATGGGCTGCAGGGGCTTGGGTCTATTCTTATTGAGAAGATTGATGGCAGTTATGATAATGTTATTGGGTTGCCGCTCAAGGCGACGCTCAAGATTATTGAGACTGTTATGCAGAGAGCGGCTGATGATGAGGACTTGCTTGGGGATAGTGGAGCGAGTGATGAGGATGAATGAGAGCATTGTTGGTATGAGGGTTTAGGACCTCTTGTTTGTTGTTAGCTTTGTATGCCTGTCTCTTTGCATCATTATTCCTTTTTGAAGGAAAATAGAAATTAAAAAGATTAGAATTCATGCTTAAGAGAACGGTCTGATCGGTGAGTAGAAACACTGCTCGTATTAAAACCTGCTAGCAGTTTACCACATATTTTACTGTACCTTACAGAATGCATAGAGGATCTAGCTATAGATCTACGTAGTATACAGAAAGAACAAAAAGCACCGAGAATGTCTTCTCGTACAAGGGTTATATTCCGTTCTTTTTTTCTATAGCTCAGAAACAACCTCGAGCAGCAGGAATCCGGCACCGATCAATAAATTCGGGCTGAGAGACAAAAGAAAAATAATCAACGACATATACAGAGGCGGAACGGAACGCCTGGATAGACCAGAACCAAATCGGTAATCAGGAACAAAAAGGAAATAGAAAGACATTACGTCTGAAAAAAAAAGAACCGCGACAGCACTTTATGCTGTCCAGATACGGCGCAGAGCCTCGGTCACACCAACGTCGTTGGTCTCAAACTCGTACAGACCCACAGCGGTGGTGAGGGTGAACGCGCGCAGGAGCCAGTTGCAGGTGGTGCGGAACTTGGGCACACGGGAGGGAGGGAAGTAGTCGACAATGGCGGCCCTGGTAGAGAGATGTTAGATTGCGATCGGATTGCAGATCTGGGGTAGATCTGAGGGCGGGATAGCGCGGGGAGGTTCTTACTGGAATCCGATGTGCGAGTGGGCGACAATCAGAGAGCACAGGATGGCATCCATAACGGGGTTGAGGGAGCCAGCGGCGAAGGGAGCGACGGAGAGAGGGACCAGGCCGACGCAGACCAGTCTGGGATAGATGTTAGTCGGGGGTTTTCTTTTTCATTGCGCATGTCGGACTTGTCGGAAGGAGTTGTATAAGTCGGCATTGTAGTGCGAAAAAGGGAGCACAAACCTCTCAAAAGTCCAGTGGTAGCTGCCCTCGGAAGGGTGGGTTTCGGGAACGGGAGTAGGGTCGTTCACTATCGGGATAGGTTAATATCGAAGAGTGTCAGGGAGAGCGGTATTGCGATTCGACAGGGATGCATTGTTGAGCGCCAAAGTAGCAGAGACAGTGTATCTCCATCCACTTCCAGGCGGTTTATACTCAATGCAATCGAAAAGCGAACGGAGGGTCGGGTTAGGGAAGGCGCGGAAATCACATACTGGTTCCCTCAACAGTCTCTGTATCGCGAAAAGCGCATTAGCAATTGCTCATGAACAACACCCAATAGATCTCCTTTGGTAATATCTCAGTAAGCCTTATGGCAGGGCCTCTACTTACGAGGCAACGGGGGCAGGATCTGCTTCTTAGCGGAGGCATGGAAAGCGACGACCTGCGACACGCCGACATTCTTCTGGAGGAAGGGCCGGGGGCCAAGAGTCTGTCGCAGCAGAGATGAGCGCGCGAATGAAGCCATTGTGAGTGGAGAGTATGGTCGTGAGGAAGCAGAAACGCCGTTCGAATACAAGCGGATGAAGTTGGAGACCTCGGAAGTCCGACTCGGCATGTCATCCTTTTACGGGCCAGTTGATTGGTCGGTGGCTGTCCGCCCAGCCGAAATTGGCCGATACTCTGGTAAGAAACATTTAGCCCTGTAGTTATCTTCTTCCTGTCTATGTTGTACTATACATGGAGTTGGTTACAAAATTGATGTTCGTTTGTCTGTTCATATTCCATTATATGCCACGTTTATTTCATTTGACTATTTTGAGAGATATTCATTTTCTATATCCCGAAGAGTCCTAACCGAGGTATTAAATACCTAATTTTTAAAATAAAAAAATCAATGCTCCAGGAATCTCGTTATTTCATGAGTCTCATAAAGCAATTAGAACTTCAGGACAGCCTTGCCCAGGTTCTTGCCGTAGAAGATGCCAACCAGGCCATCGGCAGCGTTGTCCACGCCAACAGTCTCATGGATGAGCACCTTGAACGAGCCATCCTTGATCCACTTCTGCACATTCTCCTGGTGCTCCTTGGTGTATTTATCACCCATACCCTTATCGTTGACAATGAAGCCACGCATAGTGATACGCTTGATGAGGACATTGTGAATGTTCTTGATAGGGTACGGGGCAGAGTTGTACTGGGAGATCAGACCGCAGACGACGATACGACCGAAGTTGTTCATAGCATCGAGAGCAGCCTCGAGGTGCTCTCCGCCGACGTTCTCGTAGTAAATATCAATGCCCTCAG